GACTTTTCTGATAAAATGTGATTTGTGGGTTTCCTGTGTAATGATTGGAAAAGAAACAGCGAGTAAAAGCCAAAAAACATCCATGACAAGCCTTGAAATGCATACATTAAGTCAGTTCAAGCCCTTGAAAAAGCTATAGGAAGAAATTTTGATGTCAAACTCCTAAATTACCTTGATGTAACGTCCATGATGTAACGTCCATGACCAATTTCTCATGGACGTTACACAATTCAAATTGAATTTTCTTTTAAACTAAGAAGAAAATCTATTATTTCATGACAGGTCTATACTTGTCTTTGATAGCACAAAAAGAAAATGAAAGGATTTGCTCTGCATTTAACAGGAGAGTAAAAAATAGCATATTTTATAATAAAATGTCATGTAACATCCATGACAAAATTTATGACATCATAATTAATGCAATATTGCATTTTTTTGATAACTAGACCCTGACAGCAGGGTGTACTCGTGCCCTAAAGGTGTTGAAAAGTGCTGTCTTATTCAGTACTTTTTCAAAATGAGCTCATTTAAAACTTTTCTTGTGTTTGACCAACCAAGTGTAATATACTGTCTTTCTCAATTTTCAAAAATAGTTCGACCGAGTTGACGCTCTAAGGAGGGTCTGGTTTAGATGTAAAGAATAGTGCTCCCAAAGGCATGCAGTGCATCTATACTGATAAATCACAAAGTGATTTGAAATAAAACTATATTAAGAGAAAACATTTGTGAAAGTAACTCCTTGTTGATTTACTTTTCATGTAATATTTAGCAGCTTTTGAAGGAACTAGATATACAATAAGTTTTGACAAATCTTTAAAAGCGTAGAATCAAATCGTTCACTCTGATAGTCTTTCGCGTGAAACATAGTAAGAATATTGTAGTAATTTAAGGTCAAGTATACTACAGTATCAAAATCAGACAGCTCGGCGCCGTGTGGTGAGCGATCTTCGCAAACAGGGCCCGCTCTATAACCATGCATGATAGCTTAACGATCTTCATCTAGGAATACTCATCTGTGAATAGCATTGTTTTCTTTAACCAGAAGAGACAGAATCACTCATCAAATTAGAAAATATAGGCTATGCAACTCAGAATCAGACAGCCATGTAGTCAGCTACGAAGTATCGGTTTATATCTCGCCAAGGAAAATGAACTATTTGGCTCGATACACCAACCTTTATGACCTAAAGCAATGTCCTAATACATGCTCTTACACAGATGAATGTTTTGGAATAACAAAAGGCCTCGAATATCAAAGAATTACTAAAAAACTACAGTAAATCCCGGGCAGTTATTGCTGTTCTATGATACGATTGTTTAGAGTACTGGTTCGTATGTAGAAGAGCTGTCGATCATATAACTTCAAGTGAGATCTCTTCGCCTTTAACAGAAAACTTTCCGCTATCCCAAATGCTCAGATGAGTAATAAGCGGCAGAGTCTGACCTCAACAGTCGATAATTCCGAGTTTTGAAGATTATTTCTTCAATTCAAA